TCAAAACAGTTCAACAACTAGTCCTTACTTCCCCTTCTAGTCTCTTCTTCTTCTTTTTCTTTCTCTTTTTTTTTTTATTATTTTTTTTTTTTTATATATTTTTTTTTTTTTTTTCTTTTCTTTTTAGAAGTAGAAGGACCTTATAAAAAATTTTTTCGACCGAACTCCAAGGGTTAATTTTTCAAAAATCTCCACTTATTCTACCTTATACACATTGGCTAAAAGAAAGAACACCGTTTCTCCAAGGCTCAATCAAGGTTCGAATGATAAAAATTTAAAGGTAGGCTTGAAAGGCTCAAACGGTTCAAAGATGGCCCAAATCACTTCCCAAATTGCTCAACAATTTAATATTTCACTTTGTAAATTCCTAAGGCAAGTTCTAAAACCGAATAGCATATGATATAGCATAAATTAATTCCACGTTTTAAAACACAAAACTTTCAACCAAAGCGAGGCATAATTCGTGATTCCTAACAATGACTCCTTCCTACGACACTTTGAATCAAAAGCTCACCAAAATTCAATCACAATCAAGATAAAGCAAGTAATTTCATCATTAAACATCAACCATCTTTCATCATCATGATTCATCGAAGCATTTATCTCAAACTTTTTTTTTTTTTGAAAGCAATAAAAAAACTAAAACAACTAAAATAAAAAAAAAATCCTAAGGCATGCAAACTAAAAAATTAAGGCACATAAAAGCAAGTAATTATCCACCCCCAAACTTAAAATTTACATTGCCCTCAATGTAATTAGCACGAAGTTTGAGGATAGAATACACCTGAATAAGTCGTTTTGGCCATGTCCGGGCTGCTCTTCCACCCTCGCCTTTATTATGCTTCAGTTGAGGTTCGCACGGCCGTATGAGATTTTGAACTATTTTCCGCACGGCCGTGCGAATTACCAAAATTGGGCAGTAGCTTCCAGATTTTTCACACGGCCGTGTGAAATTAAGCCTTGTTTTGGGACGGCCGTAAGAGCTGCAAATTTGCGATTTTTGGTCCTAAAAATTAAAAACATGTTTAATTTGTTAGTTTGCATGCTTATAAAATAAATAAACAAAATAAAACAAGAAAAATAAATAAGAAAAACGAAAATCTCGGGTTGCCTCCCGAGAAGCGCTAAGTTTATAGTCTTCAGCCAGACTTTGTTCCTTCTCTTCAATTCCTTAGCTTTTGAACCCATCTCTTAACTTCCTTTTGGAGAAAGTCTTGAATAAATGGGTTGATCCGATTCTTCTTTCGACTGGTTCGCTTAGGAATGCCCTTGAATTTAGTCTTCTTGATGTCATGAGGCTTGCCAACATCGTCTTTTATCACGATGTTTTGAGTAGGTGTTGTAACCAACTCAACCTTTTTCTTTTGTTCTCCTACATGCACATTAGTATCCACAAAAAAATTTAAATCATGTAATTTAACAGGAAAAAGTTTAGAATCACTTACCTCATCAAGAAGATAACATCCATTAGCCGTAATAGGCTTTTCATCCACCCGGTACACCTTGAAGATCACCGTTTCGTCCCCCACACTCATTCTTAGCTCTCTCTTTCCTACATCAATAATTGATCTACCGGTTGCTAAAAAGGGGCGTCCTAAGATAAGGGGAATATTTTCATCTTCCTCTATGTCAAGTACTAGAAAATCAGCCGGGAGTATGAACTTATCTACTTTAACCAATACATCCTCAACTATACCTAAAGGGTGAGTAAAAGATCTATCGGCTAGCTGCAAGGTCACGGAAGTAGGCTTAATTTCTCCTAAATTCAATTTCTCATAGATTGATAAAGGCATTAAATTTACGCTTGCCCCTTGATCACACAATGCCCGCCCAAAATACCTAGTACCTATTGTGCATGGAATGGTACAACTGCCCGGATCTCTAAGCTTCGGTGGAATTTTATTTGCAAGGATAGCACTACTTTGCTCATTGAGGTCTATGATTGCTGCACACTCCGGAAGCCTCATCTTCTTCGATACAAGTTCCTTTATAAACTTAACCCAATTCGGCATATGCTTAAGTGCCTCAACAAAAGGAATATTAACATGCAATTTTTTAAGATAATCCAAAAATGACTGAAATTGCATATCAAGCTTAGAGTTTTGAAAACGTTGAGGGAAAGGTACCTTGGGAGTAGGTTCACTTACTGTGATCTTTGTGTTGCTTGGCCCGACCTCGGTTTTTTCCTTGGGCTCCTCTAGGCGGTGGTGCAACAGACTTTTTAGGACCTTCCTCTAATTGTCTCCCATTTCGCAAAGTTACTGCATTGCACTGCTCGATGTTGCTCTTTCGAGGATCTTCCGTATTCGACGGCAGTGCTCCCGACGGCCTCGCGTTTAGTTGGGTTGCAAGTTGACCCATTTGTGTCTCAAGGTTCCGAATGGATGCTTGAGTCGACGTCATGAATTTTGCTAAGATGTCAGCGAGGTCAACTCCTTGGGGTGGAGCTTGAGGCGGATTTTGGAATCCGGGAGCTGCCCTTTGTCCTTGCTGATTTCCTCCCCATCCAAAGTTGGGGTGATCTTTCCATCCCGGATTATAAGTGTTGGAGTACGGGTTCCTTTGTTGTCGATTAGTGTCATGCACGTATTTTAGAGACTCCGTTTCTTCTACGCACTGGTTGGGAACTTGGACAGCATGGATTTGCTGAGTTTGCAATGCTGCTACTTGCTTTGATAGCTTCTCTAATTGGGCAGTGATTGCGGTGACCCCGTCTAACTCCAAAATTCCTCCCGTCTTTATGGTTCCGCTATTTGACCGGTCCGATGCCCGCATGTATTTATTCCTAGCGATTCGCTCCAAAAGTTCGTATGCTTCGTCATAGGTCAAGCTCATGAACATACCGCCAGCTGCTGAATCGAGCACCGTTCTCGAATTATCTTGCAACCCGTCATAAAATATTTGAAGTTGCCGCCACTCTTGAAGACCATGATTGGGGCATCTCCGAATTAATTGTTTGAACCGCTCCCACGTCTCGAATAACGCTTCACCGGCATCTTGTATGAAATTTTGTATTTCTCTCCGGATTCTCTCAGTTTTTGTTGGGGAGTTGTATGTGTTCATGAAGAGTTGTGCTAGTTGGGGCCAAGATGAGATGGAGTGCGGTGCACGAGTTTGCAACCATTCTCGGGCTGCCCCTTGTAAAGAGTGCTTGAACAGGCGGAGTTGCAGTGCTTCGGGTGATACTCCGTTTATCTTGTGCGAATCACATGTTTCGAGGAAGTTGACCAAGTGGAGATGTGGATCTTCATGAGCTAGTCCGCTGAATAACCCATTGTTTTGGAGCATAGTAAGGAGTCCCGCTCGAATTTCGAAATTGTTGGCTTCAATGGGGGGCTGCTGGATGCTCGATTGAAACCCATTGAGTGTTGGAACGGTGTACTCATGCAATGCTCGTTGACGAGGTGGTGGATTAATTAGCAGAAGTTGCTCTTGCTCGTTGACGATATTTCCTGCCGCATTCGGTAGGCGCCCTTGGTCATCTCCCCTGCGATTATTCTCTTCTTCCATTCGCATAAAAAGTACCTAAACAAAAATAATAAAAATAAAATAAGCAAAGAAGATAATTAAATAAAATAAATAAAACGGCTGAAGTAAGAAAAATTGCTCAAATTTAATATTAGGATAAATAGATAATTTAGCCGTATTCCCCGGCAACGGCGCCAAAAACTTGTTGGGTGCTAAATACCTAACACGCAAGTGCACGTATCGCAAACAAGTAGTAAAAGTGGACTCGTGAGAGTCGGATGTCGATCCCACAGGGAATACTCAAATTATCTAATCCTAAGTACCAAATTCTAACAACTATGATTTTTATCCAGCCTACGCAAGGTTGTCAAATTAATTAACTAAATAAATTAAACTAATTAAGAACGCAAATAAACACGAGAAAATATCAATAAAAACGGACCTAGGATTTTATCTTCCCCCTATGCAAGAATTGCTCTCCCAAAACCCCTCAATTATGAAATATATGATTCATGATTATTAACCCGAGACACTAATTTACTCATAACCCGCTGTCGCGTGTATTATGAGTCTATTATTCATAAACGGTTCACTATATGTCTATGCAAACAAATTATGAATAAAGCATTAACTAACAAGTCTCGTAAATGGCTACCTAAGGTGATATCTGTATGTCTACGACACCACATGCAATTGACACACTCATCCGGTGAAAACTACTCGAAGGTTCTTATACTTACCGTCTAATTATCAAAATAGCTCTGTCGAGTCAATCCCAATAATCACAGATAAAGCACATAAATTGATCAAGTTCATGCACTAACAATCATAACAAGTATAAGAAATAATCATAAAATCATAATTGCATAATCTCAAGAAAACGGTTTCACAATCCCCACATAGGGTTCCAACAAAATCCTAGATTAAAAACTTAGCTACTCATAACGAAAAACATAATAAAAGTAATAAAAGTCATAGATTAAGAAAAGATAGGTGAAAGAAGAATTATGATGAAGAGTTGTCAATTCTCCGTCTTCGATTCTTCGTTCTCTCGCTCCTCTCGCTGCAAGGTTGTGTCAAAAGTCCCCATTGATTCGTGCCTGGTTTGGGCTTAAATAGATGTCCCAACTTGGTAGATGATTCTAGGTTTCCTTGTGTGTTTAAAAGTCCAAAATTGCCTCCAACGTGATTTGGCACGGCCGCGCGAAAATCAGTGCAATTCTCGCACGGCCGCGCGAGAATCGCCGAACCTTCTGCCCAAATTCAGCATTTGGCACGGCCGTGCCAAAAATAGGCTGATTTTGGCACGGCCGTGCGGGCCTGTTTTCAGCCAATTTCAGCATATTTTTGATTATTTCACTTTTGGCCCATATTTTCTCCAAATTTGCAGTTTTGACCTCAAACTTTTCCAATTCTTCAATTTATACCTAAAATACAATAAATCAACTTTTTAACCACCAATTATCGTTAAATCACACCAAAAGCTCAAATAAAAAGGTACGATAAAGTATAAAAATATATACTTAACAAACATGCTAAGTAATGAAACCATCTCAGGGTTGGGATTTCTTCATCTTTGGGGAAACCAGTTAACTGGAGATATACCAGATTGCTGGATGAAATACTCATCTTTACAATACTTGAATATAGGCAATAACATGTTTTCTGGAACTATCCCAAATTCTGTCGGTTTTCTTACAGGATTGACGTCTTTGAATCTACACAACAACGAAATTTCAGGCCAAATACCTTTTTCAATGCGTAATTGCACGAGATTGGTGAAGATCGACCTCGCTAACAATGACCTTGATGGAAGCATACCAACATGGATGGGAACAAGCCTACCCGAATTGATGATTCTCATTTTGCGCTCGAACAATTTGAGTGGTGAGATCTCTCCAGATATATGCCACCTAAACCACCTTCAGATCTTGGATCTTTCGGACAACAGGTTTTCTGGAATAATACCTAGGTGCACCGACAACTTTACTGCAATGGCCACGAAAAGAAGTTTGGCCGAATATGGCACTGGAGAACTAGACTTTAATACATACTTGGGTTTCTTTCAGGACAGTGCAACAGTCACCACAAAAAGAAATGAGTTACGATATGACACCATTGTTGCATTGGTTACTAACATTGACCTTTCCGAGAACAATTTGTCGGGAGATATTCCAAAGGAGTTGACAAGTCTAACAGAATTGAGATCAGTCAACCTGTCTGGGAATCACTTTACTGGAATTATTCCTAGTAATATTGGAGACATGAAGCAACTAGAATCTCTCGATCTGTCGAGAAACTCTCTATCCGGTGAAATGCCAAATAGCTTCAGAGGTATGTCAACTTTGAATTATCTAAATGTCTCTTACAATAACTTAACAGGAAGAATACCAGAAAGTACCCAACTCCGGGGATTCAATGCTTCGAGCTTTATCGGTAACAACCTTTGTGGGCCTCCATTGACAAGCAATTGCAGCAGCTCTGATGGACCATTGAAGAAAGATGATAATCACTATAAATCTTCTTCTTCTTCTTCATCAAAGATAGAGTGGTTATATGTGTTTGTGTCTTTAGGATATGCTGTCGGACTTTCAATTTTTTGCACAACGTTGTTGTTGAAAAAATCGTGGAGGGAAGCATATTATGAGTTTATGGAAAATATGTGGAACAGAGTTTCTGCGTATTTCTATATAAAATGGAGAAAGCTCACAAAACCCTCAGGTTGAGTTCTGGCCGGAAAGTTGCATCCACTCTTTATTTGGGTTTTTTTTCGTAACACTAATGTACTGGTCCCATATTATAAGGTCTGATTGTGTCATTGCAGTGGATAAGTATTCATGTAAAACTACAGTTGATTGTTACATACATTTGTGTTTGGTACCATTCATTAGAAGTTGTGATATCAAGAATCTAAATTTTATAATTGTGTTTGATAAATTGAGTTTGAGATATGATTTTCTTTTTCCCTTTTTTGAATTAATACTTGTGAAATAGTTGATGTCACCAGATAGAGTTATATTTATCATTTTCAACCATAATATAACAAGCACTATTAAAGTAGTTACTAGATCAAGTCTACAAGTAACCATTTATTATTTGTGAATTAAAATCCACCAAATTCAAGAAACAAAGACATAATAATGTACTTAGAGATGGTACGGAGCTTTGATGCCATCAATATCATCTTGCCCCAAACCCTTTCTAAATCCAGATCCAGTAGTAGGATACATTATAGCACCACCGTCATTCGTATGCCCGAGTCCAAGAACATGGCTGAGTTCGTGCAAACCTATCGTCTGCAAATCAAATTTACCGGGCACAACACCATCTACCCACACTTCATCTCCATCCAAGTGAATCCTACCGTCACTCGGTGCAAAAGCATGCACCAAAAATGTGTTGCACAAAAAATGTATACTAGCATAATAATATCTCATGTACAGTGAAATCCTTAAGAAGCTTGTGTCGACAACGTCTGGATCCATTATCGAATATGTTTGCATACATGTGTTTTGCAGAAATGCATTACAGGTATAAAAAAAAATTTAAAAAAAATTTAAAAAAAAAAAAAAAAAAAGACCTGTACAGTAAAAATGTAAAATCCTAAAGAAGCATATATATATATATATATATATATGAATTATTAAATTTCCAATATAAATTGGACTATAGTATTGTCTAATGGCGAGGGCCATCAGACAACTGAGTCTCCCTCAAATTCCATTTGAGAAGGGATTTGATGCTACGCAGGAAATCAGAGGTGGGGTCGGATTGAGAAGCAATGGGAACAGGACAACGAGACATGCTGCAGACGATCGCATCTCCAGGTGCCAACTCTTTTCTGCCCTTACCATCAAACGAAACCCATGCACTGCTTCTGCTACCAACCGGTACCACAACTCTAACACTAACATTCTCAGGCAGCATTAGAGGCCTAAACGATAAAGAATGAGGGCATATTGGCGTGAAAAGAATCCCAGGAACCTGTCAATAAACCAAATTAATTATAAAAAAAAAAAACAAATTAATCGCCATAACACAAATTACGTGTGCTAACTGCTAAACACACCTGAGGGTGAACCATTGATCCTCCAGCAGCAACTGAATATGCTGTGCTGCCAGAAGTAGTTGATAATATGAGGCCATCCCCTTGCACGTCTGTGACAAAAGTGCCGTCCCAGTAGCATTTCAGATACGTGAGGAACGGTGAGACCCCACGGTCAATTGTGACCTCATTCAGTACAAGAATGGGCCCTTCACTTTTAGCTGCATCTCGTCTGATGATGTGGCATTGCAATCGATGTCTTAACATGATATTTACGGGACCCACGAGTACTGAAGACAGATCTTTGTCGAAGTGGTCCTTGCCTGGTTGTGTTAAGGATAAAATATTGAACTGGGGAATATAATTGATGGAAAATGCTTAATCATGCGATGGAAAAAGTTCGAAGAAAAATGAACATGCAATGTAAGAAACCCCATGCAGGAAATTTTAGGATACTGAATGTGGTCATAAAACCTAGAGAGCCTAAAGAGAATGGCACGATCGGAGGAACTGGCCCTTTAAACATCGACGCAGTCTGCGAAATTGAAAAATTGATATAATTACCGAAGTCAATGAATGCAATAAAAAAGGAAAATGTAATGATGATCATTCGAGACAGGGATTAGGCATTAGGTATAACATAATTTACGAGTCACCTTTTTTTTCTTTTCTTTTTTTTCAAATAATTTTTGTGACGACACTAAATCTTGCTAAAATCACCAAAGAGAAAAAACATACCCAAAGGACAGTTCCATCTCCACCCAGAGTCAATACCAGGTCAACCTTTGTATGCAGTAGCGGCATATCCTCTATGAAAACAATAATGAAAAAATGTGAAGTTGGCAACATGTGGACAAGCCTTCATTAATCATGATTAAATTTATTATCGGAACATTACCACTGAAATAAGAGTGGTAAAATGCATATAAAGTAATTTAGCTGAAGAAGAATGTTTCTTACCATCTCGCCAGGTCTGTACAAAGCTGTAGTACGATGATTCTTCCAAAAGCTCAGCCTTGATTCGTGGTTCCACAAATACGTTTAAGTTTTTATGCTCTTTCAACCATCTATAAAAAAGAATCTGGCAGTCAGACTTACATCAAACTAATCAAGTATTAACACAGTAAGATTCATGAGAAAGAAGCACACTGTCAACATTCAACTAATATTAATTAAAAGAGAATTTTACGTAGATATGAAATCTAGGTATTCATATGTAGTAATATTCATCTAAGAGGACAACTAACTTTGAGAAACGATTAGCATAATTGGAAAGTCAGATGGGAAACTAATTTCCTACACTTAATAAGATTCTTGTTTCCTATTATTAAATTATATCGGACGGAAAAAATTTACAGATTTGACACCACATGAGGGTCATCTGAAGTGTAATAATACCAAATGATTCTCTGACAAGTTTAGTAGGTATTCATTAGAAAAAGAAAAGGTTAATGCAGCTAAAAGAATTGACAGAACAAGAAACTTATGCATTACCAAAAAGTACGAGATGAAGCATGTAAAATCATTGCTCCATGCAGCAGGTAACAGAACCACTCAAAAGCTCTCAAAGTTAAGAAGACCAAGAACCAGTCTGCCTTATTAATAATACTTTCTTGAAATATTATGAAAAATAAATGCATATAAAGTAATTTAGGAGAAAGTAAAAAATATAACTGTAACATGCAACCTCCAATCTTCGGATTATGGTAAAACTATACAATATAACATACCATAAGTAGGTTACCTCTATCAGTAAATCAATATCTCTATATCAAACCTAGAAACAGTACAGAAAATTCACGTCGCACTTCACAGCAATTAAAGTATTTTCAGGTATCAAAAGGTGACGATAGTATAACTTTTATAAGGAACAAGCAAGTTTATTTCACATTTCACAACACAAACCCTACAAAATCTTTTAAAGCATCAGTATCCAGAACGATCATGAATTTTGCTTGCAAGCTATTACTCTACCTATAACATACATTGTTGTCATTTTATCAGTAAATCTCAACTCTAGTTACAATTTTATTTTCATCTTGATTACGACGAACAGCACATTATCAAAAACTTAAGGAAGGGGAAATAAGTTGCAGAAAAAGAAAATGTAAAATACTAACATATTCGAGAATCCTACCTGACCATTTCCAAACATGCTTTTCGGACAGGAGCTGAATTTGGCTTAGTGGCTACAAGAACAGTCTGTGGAGGAGATTCCCACGTCAAACAGATCTGAAAATACAGTATTAAGTATGAGTCTTAAAAACCCGTATTTAAGATAGAAATTCTGAGAAATGCAAATCAAAAGGAAATGAGATAATAAATACTTAAACCTGTTTACTGCTGCGCTCTGCAGTCGTTATATTACCCTTCTCAAAAGAGACAATGTCATGTTTGTGGCTGTCACTCTTTTCACCCTTGCAGTACCATGACAGCTTAAATGATGCCTATCTCCACAAACAAGTTTCTCAATTCTCGTTAAGTAGCCAACAACAAAGTAAAACGATAAATATCTTTACTTCAAGTTATTCAACTTGGGGGAAGAACAATTAGTGAAAAAATTAAGCATGCAATGTCATACCTTCCCCATCACCTTATTTTGGGCCGCATAGGATTCAATATCAGGCCCGTCATTTTTAAGAACCAGATGAGAACAGATTCCTTCTTCTCCGCCGCCCAATTCGCACTGCATTCTGTTTTCATCTGAAAACATGGTTTGCTCTGTCGGTTCTCGTCCTTTCTCAACATTTAACTCACTGCAACGCCCTCCTAGTGACAACATTGACGAGCAAGCCAGCAGTTTAGATTCTATAAAAGGAAAATATATTATAAATATCACAGGTAACTGAAAAGGGAATAAGATATATTTAAAATCTGTCAGCTATGTCACAAACGAACTCCACGTGTTAAACAAGTGCATAAAAAGTAATTCATGGAACTGAAAAATAACCTTTTTGCTCCAGCTGCAAATTGCGTGCACGCTCCAGTTCGTATTTACGTTTCCACTCAGCAGCCTCAGCTTGAGCAGAAGCCTTCGCCTCGGTGACCCTTCTTAATGTCTTTACAACAGCTAAAGAAAATATGTTTCATATTAAGTAACAAGATATGCAGCAAAATCTGTGTAGAAGTTAAATCTAAAAATGAAGGATTTACAAAGACGCACTTTCCAAAGCTTCGGAGAATTCAATGAGAGGGTCGTCGTTTTCTAGGAGCAGAGGCTGCTGAATAATTTCCCGAATTGTTTTTTCAGAGTCAATTAAACCATTGTCCGTTTGTGACACTTCAGCGTTGCCCTGTTAAGAAGTTGCTTGTTAGTGATTTTTATTTTTTATTTTTTTTGTGCAAACTTAAATGAATATTAAAAACCAGTAAAAAAAGATAAATTATAAATGAACCACTGTGAGAAGAAAACATTTTAAAGAAACAAGTTGACACATATGACCTATTTGCACCAAACCCCATAGAATAGGTCGAATCCAAATTAAATATTTTTTAATCGGTGGAGAAACAAAAATATACAGATCGTGTCTTCGACAAAGTAACCAAATGTACACCGTCGACGTTCGACTCGTTTCTACACAAACTTAAAATGGCAGAGAAACATGCGCGACATATACGATAGAAATACTAGAGGATTCCGAACGAAAGACGAAATCAACTCGATCATTCTGAACTGTCAAAGAATCGATTTGCGTGTATAACATCTTTCCATAGATTTACAGATCCGTAAGATGAAAAGAACATCAAGACAAAGCGGGATTACCGAATTTCAAGCGAAGTCGTATGAATGTGAGAATACGTGATATTATTGGAAAGTAACAAACTTAAAAACATAATCACTCCATTTAACCCTAATCAAGAGGCAACTATAGAAACTATTACATAGGAATGCAAATTGGTAACAAATCCATGGCTCGTCGGTAAATATACAGAATATGTTTAAAACCATATCATGTAGTATATCAAACTTTCTAATACGTGACACCGATTCTCCGTGAGTGTTTCGACGTTGCTAGATATGACCTGTTTGGGTGAGGATATTCTTTCAAGTTTCACCAGCTTTAAGTGTTTATTTAAATCACTAAACATAAACTCTTCATGGAAAAAAACACTTTTTCTTGCTTAAAATCGTGAAGAATTGAAGAAACAATCAACTTATTAGGACAGAGTATACGGCTGTGTCGTAATTAGTTCCCCTTCATTGAAGTCCACCATGCCCGTGATCCAAGGGCATTTTCAAAAAAAATAGGGCTCAATGTAAACCAGTCGACAAAAATCGAAATTAAATAATATATTCCATTAAAAAAACAAAAAAATTGAAATTCTTTGTTTCAAATAACATGCAAAAAAAATAAAAAGAAGGTGGCACGAAAAAAAAAAAACACAATACAACAATAGGTCTTTGAAGAAGCAGGAAAATGTAGAATTTACAGTGGTGGAGGTTGAACTGCTTGCGGCCATGGCGCTTTCTCTCTCTAACACACACAATTCACTCGTTTATGCAGCCACACGGACAATTGAAGGGAGAGAGAGGGGGTAAAGGGGGTCAATTTTGCAGTAAGAGATGAAGCAATAAATGGGGGTTAGGGAGAAACGAGGGCTACTTTTTTTGTGAATGTAAACACATACACATACACATATATACACACACATGTATATATAGATATAAGAGTAAAGATCGATTGGAATTGAATTGAAGATGCGGGAAATGCCAAGTAAGAAAAAGCGTTTTGGTGAAGCTGATTCCGTTTAGGGTGGGGGGTGGGGGGTGGGGGTGGGACCGACATAGTCGACGCGTGGGAAGCATGGAGGACTGGAGAAGGAGACTACAAAGAGAGAGAGAGAGAGAGACTGAATGAGGGATGGAATTTTTGACCTGCCATTTACCAGGAATTCTTCTTCTGAATAAATAATTATTATTTTTATTTGAGTTAACTGAATATGATTTTCCAGGATATTATTATATTATTACTATTTACATGGGCGGGGATTTAGCAAGTCTTCTTCAAATCTTTATAATATTATATAATTATCATTTATTTTAGGGTAAATTACGGTTATCCATGAGGTATGATCAAATTATGAGGAAAAAAACCTTATGTTTGAGTAACTACAACCACTACTCAACTATGAGTCTTCTTACATGTACACTCTTATGGTGTCAAATTCAACAGAATCTTCTAGATTCGTGGAATGTTCTCTAGTTTGTACTCGTTTTGTGCAAATATGCAGTTTATAATGCACCACAAACTAATATTTACATGTCAAGATACACATCTTATGATCATTTGTATCAAAATGTGGGAGCTCGAATGGGGTAAAACGGGTACAAATTGGAGAATATTCTACGTAATCTATAATGTTCCACTAAATTTGACACCACATAGATGGACATGTAAGACGATTCATAGTTGAGAAGTGGTTGTAATTACCCAAACAAGTAGGGTATTTTCTGTAATTTCACCATACCTCATGTGCCAATAATTTACCATTTATTTTATTGAATGTTTTGTGTGTTTGACCAGTGAAATAGCATATGGTTATATTAAAATATTAGCATATGATTATGTTTTCAAATATTAGCAAATAATATTATCTTTATTCCCTTTGAAATAATGCTTTTATGTTTTTTTTCCTTTACTAATTTTCTCTACTAAAATATTTTAGAAAACTAACCGTCCACGTATAACTACAAAAACCTGGAGCTACATTGGCACAACCAAGAATAGTTAAATGTATTTTTCCACTAATAGAAGTATGTTGCCACTATTGTAATAGTGATTCTACCTTTTTAATTTTTGTAATATCTGATTTATGAATGTTGATTTTGTTTCTATAATTTATACATCACATAAATTTTATCATACAGTATACATATTTCGTATTTCAATTGTTACCGCCATGTATTGAAATAATTTATTTATTTTTCAATTTTGAAATGTTGCCCCGTGAATCGCTCGAGAAAACACTAGTATATATAAAATTATTATTCGATAACTTAAAGTAAGGTCGGGACTGGATTGGTTTTTACCCACCAACCAATAACTATATTTTCAGACGGATAATATTTTTCTAACCTACCCATTGTATCGGGTCAAAAATTTCAACCAATCCATTTATAAAGATTCGGTTGATGATTTCTAATATTATCAAAAGTCGATTGACCGATAATTATCAATCACCCAACTATATTAATTAATATCTTATTAAAAAAATATAAATAAAGGGTCTGATTTTTTTAAGTGGGTATCGGAATTATCATAATATTTAGTATTTTAGACTTCAAAAAAATCAACAACGAAAAAAAGTTGGCAGAACTTTGGAATGTGCATGTTTGGAATTGGTTTGAATTTCATAATTATATTTTTTTTGTGTGTGGAATTGCTGGTGAATATATATATATACACGTGATGATGATGGAGCAGTGACACTAGGTATAATAACCTAATATGCATATATTTATTCCAAATTTTGAATCTTTTGTATGTAAACTAGGTGGTGGGTATATCTATCGACCGATCCGTTTCTGCACGAAATAGTTAGTTGGCAACTATCTATCGACCCACAAAGATTAGATGGGCGACTATTTTTAAATTTGAGCAAAATTAGATTATCGGATAGATCGATTTTTAGGTCAGCGATCGATCGACACAAACCTAAATTAAAGTAGACCCAATTTATGTCGTGGTGTGATGGCTATCGAACATTCCTAAAAGTGGATATATTCCTTGGCCCTGCACACTTCAAAACTAATCCAATCCAATAACTTTAAAATGGCGAAAGCTGCTTAGATAAAGGTAAATATATTACGATATTTAACAATTCGAGTATATTTATTGCAGAATTAATCCTAAAAAAAGATTTTATTGCACAATTGCATGTCTATTTAATAGCATGTTATACAACAAATTGGCCATCGAATTTTAACTCTTAGACTTATATCAGTTTGAACAAATGAAGAAACTTATTCATCGACATGTACTCGAAGCAATAAAAATAATGAACAAAATAGTAACTGCACATATAGAGTTGATTAAGTAAAGTACTTTATCTTCAAAAAGTATTTCATAATCTGAAATGATTTACGCGGCAGCAAAATTACGAATGTCGTTCACAATAGTCTTCTCTTTCTCTCTCTAAAAATCCTCAAATCTACCCAAACCCCAAAATCCCCAAAACCCCCCAAAATTCACAAAAATCTTCAACCTCTCTCACAAATCATCCCAAATCTAAAAATCTCGTCAATTTGAAACGTAATTAATCATCTAAAGTAGTTATATATATTGAATTTGTGGTTAATCATGTGAAAATCCCATGAAAATCCCATGAAAATCGCGATTTTGGGTTGTTTTTAGTGTTGGGTTTTCGAATTTTCCACGCCCATTTTGGGCGTGGAAAATTACTTCGGGCGTTCGGTCCAGACGCCGGTTCTGGACCGGTCGTCCGGTTCAATTTTTTTTTTTAGCCTAGTATAACGGAATTGAATGAATATAATTAAATAAGTAGTAGTTAACAAACTCGCTGTAGCCTAGTTGGTCATGCGTTTTGTCTATTACCCAATAGACCCGTGTTCGAGTCATGGTAGCAGCGCGTATTTGTTTATTTTTTCCCCAGTATAATGAAATGGCTAATTATGTTAAATAAGAATTTAAAACTAAATTGACTGTTGCCTAGCTGGTTAGGTAAGTTAGAACTTCAATAGAAGGAGCTCGTGTTCGAGTCCCTATAGTTGCACTAATATATGGTTTTTTTTTTTTTTTTTTATTTAAACTTATTCAGCACGCGCGCCCAAACCGGGCGCGGATAGCTGTGTTGGGCGCCCAAACCGGGCGCCGGAAGTGCTTTTCCGCGCCCAAACCGGGCGTGAATCCAGTTTTTTGCGCCTAGTTTGGGCGTGAAACGTATTTTTCGGCGTCCAAATTGGTCGTGGGTCGCGTTTTCACGATTTAAAGAACAAAAACGAACAAATTTTACCTCATTGGATTCCGTATCTCGATCCTCATTCGATGCACTCATTTTTTTTTGCAAATGGCTACAATAACATGAGTTTTGGAATGATTTCTAGTATAAAAGCTAAAATTGTAGAGAGAGAAAGAAAGATAGAGAGTGGATTTTTTAAAACGACATTCGTAATTTTGCTACCGCGAATATCACCTCCCTTTCATAATAGGTAAAAGCATATTCTTTGACCTATTTATCTTATATGAACAGAATATATGAAAGACAATTTTTTTACGTCACACTATAACTTTTGAATCAGAATAAAGAGCCGACCTACTATTATAAGTTCATAAACACAATGGATTATGTGACAAATTAGTTGACATTTGACAAATTAAACAAGCATATCTTGAGTTGGTAGAAAATAAATCTCCAAAGGTTGGGACAAAAGATTTGCATGCCAAAATATATATTAGTTTAAGAATATGGGCATCTGTTTTGGGATAAATTTTCTAGTTTTTGGCACTCTCATATGTAAATAATTCTAAATAGTGGCGGAACCAAAATTTCAAGTTCAAGGGGACCGGATCGGACGCGTTAAAAACTTTCCGAGGGAGCCTTGTACACAAACATACTATATTTCGATATAAATTAATAGAAATTTGAGAAATTTGGGGGCCATACTCTAGTCCTATGCTGGCTCCGCCACTGTAACTAAATAATCCACTATATATGTTTGTTCTTGTTAAAACGTCACACGATGAAACTATAACATATTGTGGAACAAATTATACACGTCATCAAGTATTCAAATTCAATCATCTCGTTTTTTATGCAAAACCTAGCGTAGTAGATTTCCGACTTATGGTATGTTTCCTACTACGATCGATTTCACTTTGCTTTCACCAATAGATATAATGCAAGCCTGATCTTATTCACTACTTTGAAAGGACTATTTTAAGAAGATATAGAGTTCTTCATGGTTGTATAGGATCAATAATAAAAATTTAAATTTTACATTAAAAAAGACATGCTACAAGAAATTCAAATAATTAAATATATTTAATGAAATATCGTTGAAATCAAATAGTACCATCAGGGCTCTTTTGGTTGGTGGGATAAGGGGTGATTGACAGATTAGTCACCCCTAATCCGGTATTTGGTGTGAATGATATAAGCCCGGTATTGACACAAGGCCCGGTATCCAATCACCCAAATGAGTGATAATTTATCTCACCCCAATAGGTGTGATTAAATTATCCATTATAGACAATGCTAATGAAAATACAAAAAAGCCCCCAAATAAAGCCTCATCACATCCACCAAATTACAATTTTCAAAAACATATATTATAAAAAACTATTTTTTACATTAGGTCATATTTTAATTTTTTTACATTACATAGCTGCTAAAGTCAGATATTTATTTTTTACATTAAATCGGAAAAAAATATTTTCAAAAACTATAGAAATAAAAAAAATTGGATTTTTATCCCAAAGCCTAGAATAATAGAATTATTGTAATTACAAATTACAATAATTTTTGATAAGGGGTGCATGATAAATTGGGATTGTTTTTTTTTTTTTAAACGTTTTTGTGAGTCAATAAAATTAATTTGACCAATGGTTGTTTTGTAAATTCAAGAATAATCAATCATAATCATTATAACCAAACATCAATTTAAGTTATTCAGTATTAATTGTCCCTCATACCAAATGTGATTTTTTTCCTACTAAATAGTGGTGAATAGTGCAATAATCAATAATCAATCATGTGTTTGTAATCCCATCCTACCAACCAAAAGAGCCCTCACAGAATTTACATGTACATGTATTTGGTAGCTGCTACGCTTTAACGTAATAACGGGCTGCAGCCCAAGCCCAAGCCCAAGCCCGAAATTACTCTCTCCTCTTTGTGCGCTATTTAAGTTTCCCTCTTCTTTCTTCCATAATCTTTTAAGTTTCTACAATGGAAGATGCGAACGAAACCCCGATTCCTCCGCCACCAGCTACAGACGGTGGCGCCGGCGCCGCTAGTAATTCCGCCGAATTAACAGCATTACCCGATCAAACAAATTCCGAATCGAAGACCGACAAATCCGGCGGGGTCAAGGAAGAGCCCGAACCCGCCGCCTCTGAGGAGCTCTCCTCCGACGACACCTCCGTCTACGGCACCCCTCAAGCTCCGGAAGATGAACACGCTGACGAAGAAGAGGAGGAAGAATTGGAGCCCTCCCCGAAGAAGCAAAAGCTGTTCGCCGAATCGCCGAAAATCGAACCCTCCGAACATGGAATGACCGAATTGCCCTCCCCCGCGGACGCAATTCCCGATCCGCCCCAAAACGGAAAGCCGCCGGCGACGAAATCCGGCAAGAAATCGAAGAAGAAGAGCAAGGATGTCTGGACAACCACGTCCAGGAAGGGGAAGAAGAAGACGAAGCACGCATTCAACGGCCACAACTCTAAGAAATCCGCCAACGGCGGCGGCGGTGAGGACAAAGTGCTGATAATACCAGCTCCGAGGTATGCAGAGAAGAGCGACGACAGCCCTGCCATACAAATCGGCCTCTCGAAGATTTACAAGGCGGAGAAGGTCGAACTGAGCGACGATAGGCTCACCGCCGGCAGCACAAAGGGGTACAGAATGGTGAGAGCTACCCGGGGAGTCACCGAGGGCGCGTGGTACTACGAGATCAAGGTGGTGCACTTGGGTGAGACGGGGCACACGAGGCTAGGGTGGTCCACCGATAAAGCGGACTTGCAAGCGCCCGTTGGATACGATGGGAATAGTTTCGGGTATCGAGATATGGATGGGAGTAAAGTGCATAAGGCATTGAGGGAAAAGTACGGGGATGAAGGGTATAAAGAAGGCGATGTCATTGGATTTTTCATAAACTTGCCCGAAGGAGGGTCGTATGCGCCTAATCCTCCGCGTATGGTTTGGTATAAGGGTCAGCGCTACGTTACTCCTCCCGATGTAAAGGAGGATCCGCCTAAAGTTGTGCCTGGTTAGTACTAATATTATAGCCTTTTTTTGTGTGAATTTAGGTTGTTGTAATATTCATTATTTGTTGTACTGATGTTGTGTTATCTTGTCTTGATGAGTGTGCTGTTAGAGTTTTACTGTTGATGTTTGTTGTTATCATGTTCGGTTGTTTGATAGTAAACTTAATTTTGGTAATAGGTTTCAATAGAAGAACTTTAGCTTATGGTAATGGATCGATCATATTATTCAATTGTGCGTCGAGATGTTTCATAGTTTCGAGTATGATTGGTTGTGTCTAGAAGAATGTATAATGCCATGCACGCAATGTGCGTAACACATGACGTAGATAGAGCGTAGCCCATGTTTGGAAATCTATTTATGACTTCATTTAAGCCGTTGACGAATATGTCCTAAAGTGCGTGGAGTGTACTCGTTTCCCTTATTAAAGACTGTTTTTTTCTTTAAGATACAACACATGTATCTTAATTGGAAACTTTATCTTTTAACCAATACAGGAATCTGAGACTTAGTCGAAATATAGTAGATTCATTATCTTAATATTTCTCAACGCCGATCTTTCTTAATCATAGTTTTTGAGTATGACTGGTTGTGTCTAGAATGTATGATACTCTGCATGAAAGGTGCATAATATACGACGTAGACAAAGTGCAGCCGATGTTTAGAAACCTATTTATGACTTCATTTAAGCCATTGCCGAATTTGTCCTTACTTGTGTGGAGTGTACTCGCTTCCCTTATTAATGACAGTGGCTTTTTAAATACAGTTCATAAACCTTATTTGAAACTTTATCCGTGCCTTTTAACCAATAACAGGAATCGGAAACTTAGTCGAATATAGTAAATTCATTCTCTTAATCTTTCTCAACACTGGTGTTTTGCTAAATCTTTTGACCCAATTATCCCTTACATATGACATCATTGATTCGTGACTCGTGAGTAATCACATAGACATAGGAGCTGAAACGGTCTTCATTGCAGTTGTCGAATTTATCCAGCCTTGCGAGTTTCTCGTGAATACAGAAATGTCGGAGTATATTTACCTACTCTTTGACTTGCTAGGTTAAACTGATACGTGTCATATTGATATATTAAAAGATAATTGAACCGAGTAGGGCTTGGATGACCTAGAAGTTAACAAGGGCGTCTCATATACGAAACGGAGGTGCCTGATTATTGACTTTGCATGGAGAAATTAAGGAGGAAACGCCCTGATAAGAACCATCAGCAGATCCTTTTGTCCCTATGCCTTTAAATGCATATTATTATAGGAAGGAAAAAAGTCGCTTTGTAAAACCCTGTCTTAACTATGCTAAGCAAGCCAATTTATTTGTTTATTTTTCTTTAGCTTCGATTCTTTCCTCTCAACCTCTTCGAGATATTCTTAAATTTGTATTTATTTGGTAAAACTTAGTTTTTTTTCTAAATTTAAATTCATTGAGATGTCTTAAGATTTTATTGTGTTACTTTAACTGGATGAATAGTTTTTTTTTCGGTAAAACACTTCTCTGGCTCAATCTGTAAAATCTGCTCGGTGCTAGCTCATTTTTTTTCGGCAAAATACTTTGAAGCTTAGTTTAGTACAGGAAAAAAAATCATTTTGTTGCGCTAGATTATATTTTAAGAGTCTATTTACGTTATAAATTCGTGTCTGCTTAGGAGTCTTTGTAAGAGAGTAGGTTCATTTCAATAATCTACTACTGTCAGGCTTCTTATATTATGTCTGCCTCTTTTCTACAATATTCCGTCTGGTCCTAGATTTTCTATTCTAACATATTACACGTGAAATCTCTTGTTTGGTTTGCAGGAAGTGAGATATCGTTTTTCAAAAACGGAATATGCCAGGGTGTTGCTTACAGAGATCTTTACGGTGGTCAGTACTACCCAGCTGCTTCAATGTACACTCTTCCAAACCAACAGAATTGTGTGGTCAAGTTCAACTTTGGTCCCGATTTCGAAATGTTCCCTAAAGAATTCGGTGACCGTCCTTTACCGAGAGCCATGATTGAAATTCCATATCAAGGTCATGAAAGCAGCGCCGAGATTGGTGCGTCCAGTGAGAAGAAACAGTAGCTATTGTTAATTGTTTCCCCTAGTTATTAACTATACATTAATGACGATTTTTAGTTAGTTTTTTGAATTTTGTAATTTCGGTTTTGCTAAAGGGACAAGAAGGATCTAGAAGTAGTAACCTAGTCGTGAACTCGATATCTGTTAGAATTACCAAACCTGACTCCCTTTTCTGCCTATGGATTGAGCAAATTGAAAAAACTAGAAGTGGCATTGTTTTGTTCGATTTGGTGTCTCTTTTTTTTTTTTTTTTTTCAGTATAGATTGTTTTGGTCGACGATGTCGAGGTAGTGAAAATTATTGAATCCTGTCATGTAAACCTTATCGATTCGTTGCTGTAATGCATTGTCACCAACATTTTCTTGAAACTTGAATATATTGTGCGTTTTTGGTTCTTTTTTGGTATCGTTTTCTTCTTCATCTTAGGATCTTATTTGTTTACCTGTTTTATTTTACTTAAAAAGGAGAGGGAGAATGCTTCTCCTGATAGAACTTGTGTTCGTTCTGACAGGTAGTCCGATGAATATAACGAGAATGCGCCCGATGTTCAAAGAGGAGTAAAATTGTGAAAGCTGCTGAAATGATCAGGTTGGTAATGTTTCACTTGAAATAAGCTACTTTGTCTGTATGTTGTTTGTGTTTGTTCAATTTATATATACTTCCTTTGAAATATAATCTTTTTTTAATATATGATCAAATATTGTAAGTATGCCCTTCATTATTTGTGGTGAACTAGCATGATGATGATCTCAGTTATTTTTATTTAAAATTAAAAATATTTGAACTCTCAATGCTTTTCTTCTTGCGTGCGCAACCACGTCATGTTGCGATAAAGAACGCACGATTGTTGCTCCTCTCGTTGTCGTGTTTCGCCGATGAACAATCGTCATTTGTTTCCATTGCAATCCCAAATTGAAAATATATCTAGCAACTTTTTTGCTTATATAATTGATTTATAATAAATCAATAATCGAATAAGATTAAGTGTTGATCGAAATTAGATGAAAGGGAGTTTGCTCTATTTCTCAAAGATGAAGGGGTCTAGATGTAATTAGATCTAACTTAGAGGACGGGTGGTTTAATTTACATCAAAAATAAATATCTTAGTGAGTGCTACATATACGGTTTAGGCTAGAGTTTTAACCTAAATCAACCCTCATGTAAGATATGCAATCTCCTAAACCCAAAGGATCTAGATGTAATTACACCTAACTTCAGGGGCAGAAAGTGTAATTTACTTAAAATATAGTGTCATTGGGGTAATTTATCTGTTAACTCCCACCAACCTAATAAGTCTGATACCTGCATTTTATGGCAATTGGCTGTCATTTCATTCAAGTATGTATTATATGTTTGTTTTTGTGTAATGAAATGAAGAATAAAAAATTAAATGAGTATTTAAAAAAATAAAAGACTACAATTAATAATTAATAGTAAATATAATTAATAATAAATATGTCAGTGTCGCAATGCCGTGTGAAGATGCATCTATCTATTATTATTAATAAATATGAAGGCAATGGGTTCTCATAAATGTGCCGCATCTGGAAATTCTGGCATCAATAATAATAAATCTCAACTAATTACTTTAAATGCCCATACTTCTACAATTTGCAACTTTTTTTAAATAAAAAATAAAAAATAAAAAATACTTGTATTTATTAATTATTTTACAAATTTCACATACCAAGGGTTTTTTCTTTAAAAATGAAGACTGAAATAACTATACATATATGTAAGCGCAATTGTATGTAGATTTACGAGTACAGCTACTTAGTGTATTTCACTCGGTGCAGCATCTAGCTGCATTAGAATGAAAACTTACAAGCAATAACCCCAGAAATACCATAAGCAAATATCATAAGCAGCTAAAATCAAGAAAATTCAATCAACTCAACACATTTCTCACAGAAAATTTCGTACGAATTCGTTAAGCTCGTTCCACAAATCCATCAAATACTCGGATAATATCAATATATCATGGAAACAACAATAAACGTGACATGAATCTTACCATCACTCACTTTATTCACTTGATACAAAAAAAAAAAAAAAACGTGTTACACAAGAGTCTTATAAAAACACACACTCTTTATGCAGTAATACGTAATTGATCCAGCACCGATCAAGAACGAAATAAGCAAAAAAAAAAGAAAAAAAAAAAATAACGGAACATTTAATCTCTCGAATTACACCTGTGGAGAGTTAAGGCCTTCTTGAGAAGACAAAGAAAGGAGTACTTTAGGGTACTTTTGGGACGACGTAGAAGAAGAATAGGACGCCTTCCTCTTAAACGAAGGGTGCTTTTTGAACCGGCGCAATAACCTCTTTGCATAAATCGACTGGAAATACTCCGCAGTTCTCTCCTTCAACTTGAGAACAACGAAAAAGAGGAATCTGTAACATATTATAAGTACAAACAAAGCGAATAAATCCCACCACTTTGAAGCATCGAGCGATATTCCAAACATCTTCGTTATTACATCCTCTCCCTTTATTTTCGGATCGCCTGGTACAAGCGGTTCGAATACGACTCCAATCATATCATTCTTGTATGCTCCCTGCCAAATAATTTAATTATCTAACTAAAAATAGTCTAAATAATTATTTAACGATATTTTGAATTTTATAGAAAATACCTGCAGTGCCCATGCACCGTATCCAATGTACGAAATTGGATACCGCCAAACGGGTTTCGGAAGATCCGGAAGCAACCGGAAGAATCCGGCAGTCATCATCATAATACCCTTCATATATTTCAAAATTAATAATCATATTAAGGTAATTAAATAGATAAATTTTTTCGAAACTTTTTTAATGCATGATTATTTGATTACTACTTACGAGAACTCCGGCACCAGTTATAATCCCCATCAAGAAATTAGGAACCAACGAGGCCACAATCATCATCACGCTCTCCACCATTGCAATCGATCCGAATATATTAAGACAAAAGAATACGTAACGAGAAAATCCGGCTCGAAAAACCATGTAGAATGTAATTGTCCCCGTACTAACCGCCACCGCAACCAAGAAAGGAAACGAAGACAAAAAATTCGACAATATGAACACAGAAACTCCGTAATATCCGTTTATCCTTTCTCGAGTGAAAACCTGTTTTTTCAAAAAAAAAAATTATTTTCAACTTTTTCTATATAATAATAATGCAAATTGTATATGAACTAACTATTTTTTTTTTTTACCTTTAATTCCTCGATAAAAGAAGGGAAACCACCAATTGACATGAAAGTCATAAAGCCAGTAACAAATCCACCACAAGCTGCCCTCGCCAAGATTGCGGTGTAATTGGTCCCCACATCGTAGAACAAAGTTCCGACGCATACTCCGACTATCATATACACGACTATACGAGACCAGTAGTATCCGACATCTCTAGACATATTCAAGAACGATCTTTTCGTCAGTGTCCTGAGCTGTTTCCACCATGTTGCTTGGCTTCCTTTAATCAGTTCGATATCGGCTCCTTGCTGCAAAATTCATAAAAACTACGATAATGCCACCACCTTGAGACGAACGTAAAAATTTATCGAAAGCCCCCCTCTTTTTTTTTTACTTACGGAGGTGGAGAATTCTTGGATCTTGAGTCTTGCCCTTTTACCGTACGCTGATCGATTGTATCGATGGATGAGGGCTGATTTGATGTCTGCTGTTGCCATATTCAGCAGCGGATCTGCGGTAATTTGTGTTTCCTGCCATTAAAAACATCGGAAATGTACGTCTTTTTTAGTAATGCGATTATATATATAGCTTTGAATCTTCGCAATGTGTATCTAATGTGAGCGAACAAATATTAGTTATGCATCCATGAAGTTTATAATACTCCTTATGTTCTGTAATATCTGTTGTTTAAGGTTTTTACACACGTATTAAGAAAGTTACTAAATTATGGTTGAATTTTCGGAAAGACACGTAAAAAAGACTAAAATAACCTTTACCGTTTAATGAGGTGATAAGGGGGAGTTGATGTTTAATAGAGTTAGATTAATAAAGGTACTACATGAAGAAGATAAAAAACTAATGCATTATCGAAACTCTAAAGTATGAGGGGTGGAAATCGGACGGATCAGAATTAACACTTTCGGGAAATTTGCAGTTTATTTCGGAAATGGAATACTGATTTCAATTCCCTTTACAAAAGAATTCGGAAAAATTGGAAATTGGAATGAGAAAATACATAATAATATTGACAATATAACTGTAGTTTTCAGAATTTTTGGGAAATTTGAAATTTTCGGAAACTAAAATCGGATCGGAATCTAAAAATGTACTACAATTTCGTTTATAAAAATCTCAAAAATCGGAAATGGAACTTTCGGAATTCATAATGAAATCCCAAAATTGGAAAATTTCAGATCGTAATCAGCGGAATTTGGAATTTCCATTCCAATTTCTACCCCTAGATGATAAGGATCAAAAAAAAATCTCTAGAACTTCATATAATATGGAACATAAGGAGTAACAAACTCGAGGCTAAAAGAAACGAGAATAAACGGAAGAATCAAATATATTATCGGATCTTACACGTAGTCTTTGTGAACCCTTCAATGTGGCTGTCACAACATCAAAATCCGAGTTAATACACCGCAAGAAATGATCCGACGGGTTTCTCCTACTCGGACACGGAAATCCCGCCTCAGCAAAAAACTGAAACAAAATAATTTACTTCAAAATATTGCACAAAAGAAAAGGAAAGAAAGAAAAAAGCCATACAGTTAAACCTCTATAAATTAATACAGTCGGGACCAGTGAAATTCTATCAGTTCAGCAAAATATTAATTTAGCGAAATAGGGAGAAAATATTAAATAAACGAGGCAAGTAATTTATCGAGTATTAATCTATCGAGATTCTATTGTATATTTTAGGTACAACATACTATAATAATTACCTTTGTTGCCATCTTAGCCTCACCAAAATAAACCGTTTCACCGCCAGACAGTAAAAAGAGGTCGTCAAAAAGAGCGAAAACTTCACTACTAGGCTGATGAATAGACGAGATCACGGTTCTTCCATCACGCGCAAGATTCTTGATAGCTTGTATAACGAAGAACGATGCCGCACTATCAAGTCCGGTAGTAGGTTCATCAAGAAACAGAATACGAGGGCGTACGAGAATTTCGAGCGCAATGCTCAATCTTTTCTTTTCTCCGCCACTTATACCCCTCGACTGCCAACTTCCCACCTGGCGGTCCGCGCAGTCGTAAAGCCCGACTTCGGTTATAGTTCCTTCTACAATGCCTTTTATGTCTTCTCTAGTTGTCGAATTCGGAAGCCGTAAATGAGCAGAGTATGTTAGGGTTTCTCTCACCGTAAGCGTACTCAATAGCACGTCTTCTTGCGTGACGTAAGCCTGAATATAACCAATATTAGTTATTTAATTGGTTTTTCGACGTTGTTTTGATTTTGTTTCTAGAATTCAGAACGTAAAAATCGGGAGTAGCTAATGTTTACTTACGACAACTCCATAGTCTAGCTTCCGTTTCTTGCCGTTTAGAAGAATATTTCCAGTCATGAGTACATTTCTTGATAATCTACCTGTAATTGGTTGCCAAAGTTAGAAAATTTACATGAAAAATGTACATACTACTCGAAATCGGACATCTTTCGACCGATATTAAACGGAGATTAGCGTCGATAGATTCTTGACAGCGAAGAAATATTACAAGACAAAAATGTACAGTTAAACCTCTATAAATTAACACAGTCGGGACTGACAAAATTCTATTAGTTTAGCGAAACATTAAATTATCGAGCTAATAATTTAGTATGTTTTTACCAACTCGGGACCATAAGAAATTATTATTTAAACGAGGTTATTAATTTATCGAGGTTCTACGGTACAAATAAATAAATAGAGCTGGCATATAGGACAGTTAGTTATCTTTTCTTCATTAACTCAACTTGTCCTCTTTCAACTACCTCACCACAACCTATTAATTGAATCAATCATCTTACAACACAAAACTAATCTAACTCAAAAAAGATGATGTCACCTTTTTTTTTTTTTTTTATCTGGTTCATATTTTTTCCTTTCAAAAAAGGCGGTTCGGTTCGGTTCAATAATAGTTTTATTACCCTTTCGAGGATTTAATCGTAGTTTTATTCTCGAGGGGCGTTTCTTTTTCGAGAAATAAGATGAGGCAAAAAACAAGCATCCTTTGGGAAATGTTTTTTTCCTGTATCCATTTTATATTTTCTGACAAGGGCATTTATACCTATATATATATATGTGTGTCCGGTAAGCATGTGACAAGAGTAACTCAATCCTCTAAATTATATTAAATCACATGTACTACTCACTCTGATAAGTGATAAGTACTACTGCATTATTTATCGTTCATCTACACACAAACACACACGCACCCACGTTGGTGTGTGTAGCGATGAGATGAACGGTAAAGATTTTTACACAACGATGTGATCTCTCCCGAGATCTGAAATTCAGTCATCTCTCTAATTTGCAAGATGGAAATTAAAAAAAAATAAAAAAATTACCATGTTTTGTTGCAATAATGATGAGAATCGCGAGTGATCGACAGTGTATATATATGCGTAAGAACTAAGTACTAACTCTAGATGAATGCATACATGTATAAGAAACTCATGTCAAAGATACATATAGATAAATATATATATATCATATCATATAGTAGAAAGAAAAAAAAGACCTGCTAAGGAATCAAGAAGGGTGGATTTGCCGGAGCCAGAAGGACCCATAATAGCCATGATCCGACCCGCTTCGGCGCATCCGTTAAGCCCGTTAAGCAACTTCCGGGTTGGACCCTGCATCCCGAAATTCGGCAGCACCACCGTCAAGTCCTGCCAAACCAAGTACGCCTCACCGCCTCTCAGCGGCAGCTCCGTCATCTCCATCTCACCGCCGCCATTAGCTCCCGCCGTACCACCACCGCCACCTGTCACCTCTATTTCCATAATGCTAATTAACTATAAAAGAAAGGCAAAAAAGAAGTTGTACCCTTAGAGGAATGAATAACTAACTGTATTCACCAAACCAGTAACTATTGAGTTATGGTTCTCAAGTTCTTGCTATTTGAGATCATATTCATTTTTGGGGGGGGGGGGGGGGGGGGGGTTTCTTGGGGGAATTTAATTTGGGGAATTAAAAAAAAAGGGGGGGGGAAAAAAATTAAATTTAATTTAAGGCTGGGGGCCCCAAAACCCCAAAAAAAAGGGGTGGCAATTTTGCTTAAAAAATTTCAAAAGCGGGGTTTAAACCTGGGGCCCAAACCCCCTTTCCCCCAATTTCAACAACGCTGGCCCCCCTTTTTTTTTTAATGGATTCCCCCCCAAACCCTCCAATTTCAAGTTTAAAAAATTTTTTTTTGGACTTCCCCCACCCCCCAAATTTTCCGGGCCAAAAATTAAGCCCATTTTTTTTCCCTTTTTTACAAAAAATTAATAATTTCCCCGGGGAAAAAACTTTGAAATTAAAATTTTTTAACCGAAAAACCCCCAAAAATTAAACCCCAAAAAATTAAAAACCCCCCTAAAAAAAAAATTTTTTCCGGCCCCAACCCGGGAAAAACCGCGAAAATAAAAAATTCCCCAAATTTTAAAAAAAAAAACCCTTCCAAATTTTTAAAAC